ATTTGCCATTTTTATGTTATTTCTGAGTGTATGAGTGAGTGGGTCTCTAATTCTTGTGCCTTCTCTTAAGCTGTTTTCTTTCTTTTTGTCTGATTTTGATGTGCTAGTTTTTGTTTTATCTCATATTTTATTTTATCATTATCCCTTGAAAGCCTGTTTGTTTTCTAATGAGAGACAGAAAGGGAGTGGATCCAGATGGGAGGAGAGGTGGAGCAGAACTAGGATTTTCTACAGAAAGGGAGTGGATCCAGATGGGAGGAGAGGTGGAGCAGAACTAGGAGTAGCAGGGGAAAGGGAAACCATAGTCAGGATATATTTTGTCAGAAAACATTTATTTTCAATAAAAGAAAAATGTAAAATAAATAAAAAGAACCCACAAATGCTCTCAAAGACAGATAATTCACCAGCTAAAAGATACTTAGATACATATGATCACAGGAGCATAGCCAAATGGTGCTAAATTTGATGAGATAACTTCAGAGTCAGGAAGAAGCTCATGCTAAGTCCATCCACACTACTCTGTGTCTAGAAACAGGATGTTAACTGCAACTTCTTTCACTCCGCTGTTTTGAGATATACACAAGTTGGCCAGCTGTGGTAGAACACACATGCCTGTAATGTTAGTAGCCAGGAGACCGAGGCAGGAAGTTGACAAATTCAGACCAACCTGAGCTATGACTCTAGCCCTAAGCCAGTCTTAAGTGCATAGCTAACCCTGTTCTCAAAACCCAAAAGTCAAACAAAATGAAGAGATGACTTGGGTACCCAATCAGTTTGTTCTTGCTGCTGCCAGTGTCCCCATGTGGACATTCTACAGTCCAGCTTTGCACTCCCCCACTTGTCACTATTTGAATTCTCACATTTTCACCAATTCAGAGACCTACGGTGAGCAGTGCACACCTGCCATCGCACACTCACACTTTCTGGGTCACAATCCCACTGCTTGACATCAATTGTCACACCTACTTTCTTCAGTTTGTTTTTCCTGGTGCAGCTTCTCTGTCCCTTTAGTTTTACTTTGCACTATGGGTTGTCTCTTCTAGACTGCCTCTTAAAATTTAGCTTAAAATTTAAAGTCATTTTAATGATGATAATTCATTCTTTTCATAATATCACATTTGCAGATCTCATGGCATATATGCCCATCAAACTACTTTGGGTTATCTATTTATAATGCTTTCTCTTTTTTTTGCTTGAAGATTATACTTACATGTTTTTAATTTTTTTCTGCATTCCTGTTTTCCTCTGTATTGACTTATCAATAAGTTACACAATCTATTACTTATCCTTAAAATTTCTACTTAAAGTCAGTCTCTAAGCAGCCTTCAAAGTAACACAAGGACCTCAGAAAGTTCAGTCATTCACTTCCTTGCTCCACTCCAGCTGCTGAACACTGGTGCCAACACCTTAGTGCATATTGCTTTCCATGGCTCTCATCCAATATTTTCAGGCCAATATTTACTTGAACAAGTATGTTTGCTCACCTGCTTCCTTACAATATCCGACTCATCCATCCCACTCTTTTGTTCTGTGTTCAGTGCTGTTCTAGTTGTTGCATGACAAATTGACTCTGGAGCTTTGGGTAGTAACCATCTTGTCCTACCCTACAGCTGAGGAATCTGAATTGTAGCCAGCAGGCCCATTCTTCTGCAACTCCTCTATCTTGTCATCCAGTGGTACTCGGAGGACACACCTGTCTGGAAGGTCTGATGACCAGGAAAGTCTACACAACTATCTCACATAGGTTTTTCATGTTTCCGCCAGGGGCCCCCAGAACAACCCACAAGCATGGCATGACCTTTAAGCCTCAAAAGTTATCACTTCTTACTCTTTGTGTGTATGTGTTCTGGGGGGGGGACAGAGAGATTAGAAGGCAGAGGCAATGCTAAGCATCTTCCACCACATTCAACTTTATTTTTATGCCTGTGTTGCTGTGTGTGCTGGATAATTCTGTGTCACCTTTACACAAGCAAAAGTCAACTGAGAGGAGGAAAACTCAATTGAGAAAATGCCTCCATAAGATTGGGCTTCAGGAAACCTATAGGGCATTTTCTTAACGATTGATAGGGGAGGGCCAAGCAAATTGTGGGTGGTGCCATCCCTGGGCTGGAGGTCCTGGGTTCTATAACAAAGCAGGCTCAGTAAGCCATGAGGAGCTGGACAGTGAGCAGCCCCGCTGCATGGCCTCTGCCTCAGCTCCTGCCTCCAGGTTCCTGCCCTGTTTGAGTTCCTGTCCTGACTTCCTTCCGTGATGAATAGTACCAAGGAAGTTTAAGCCAATAAACCCTTTCCTCCCCACGTTGTTTTGGTTGTGGTGTTTTATCACAGTGATAGTAACCTTAATTAAAATACTATGAGTGTGTGTACATGTATGTGAACATGTGCACATGCCTGTGCATACACAAGGACCAGAAAAGGGCATCAGATCCCATGGAGTGGGAATTGCATGCCCAGCTTCTTGTATCTGAACTCCAGTCTCCATGATTGTGCAGCAAGTTCTCCTCGTCACTTAGCCCCTTCTCGCAGCCCTCCACCTCTTCATTTTAGACAGGTAGAATCCGCTCCTTTCCACTCTCAGGGCTGGGGATCCAGGCGTCATTTGAGAGATGAATCAAAAGCCAGAACAGATTTAAGGAGAGAGGAATTAGCTCCTAAAGTAGTAAAAGATTACATAGCAGAGGAACATAGGGAGATAGAAGACACTATGAGGATCATTTTAGGAAAATATCGTCTGCTCAATTTCCCATGTCTTTAAGTGAGGAAGAATGTGGTGGTTTGGATGTAATTGCCTGCAATATGCTCACAGAGAATGGCACTACAAGGAGGTGTGGCTTTGTTGGAGGACGTGTGTCATCGTAGAGGTGGGCTTTGAGGTATCATACGTGCTCAAGCCATATCCAATGTCTCAGACCACTTCCTGTTGCCTGTGGGTCAAGATGTTGGCTATCAGCTTCTCCAGCCTGAATACCACCATGATGATAATGGACTGAACCTCTGAACTGTTAAGCCTCCCCAGTGAAATGCTCTCCTTTATAAGAGTAGCTGTGGTCATGGTGTCTCTTCACAGCAATAGAAACCTGAACTGTGACAAGGAGGCTGTGGGTGTCAGGTCTTAACTGAATCCTCATTAAATGATGGTGCAGATCCTGAGACTGGCCCCATTCCCACTTAGCACTCCAGACACAGTACTGAAAGTACTCTAAAAAAATGATAAATGGGTGTTTATTGGGGAACAAATACACAGAAAAATACAAAGAACCTAGGGAGCCCTTCTTTGCCCTTCCTACCGAACTGGCTGAGCCACCAGAAAGGGAGGAGCAAAGGAAAGCCACACCTCAAGATTCCCTCTTTCAGCTTCCATCTGCCTGAGGTCAAGACCAAGGGGGTGTGGCCACCATTACAAGTTCCCTGCAAGACTGCTACATGGTACTGTCATATTCTGACCCCTCTTTTTGCTGACATTATTGTTGTCTGTCTGTCTGTCTGTCTGTGTGTGTGTGTATATATATATATATATATATATATATATATATATCTGTGTTTTCCTTATGACACTTCTCTGTGTCATTTAGCATATGTGAATGAGGACTTGTAGTTTACTTCTCTAAGACTATTTTGGTCTGAAGACTTGGGAACTCTGCTCATGTACAGCCAGCATGGGGTAGACGGCAAATTCCCTCAACTCTTTATTGGGAAAGAGTAAATTACCTTCTCCACTAAGTGTAAGGGTCACCACCCTTTCATGGCTTAGGGCTCCTCATACACAAGAAGGCCTCAGAAAATAGGGGCTAGTCTAGCTTAAGTGCTAAATGGAGGACACTGTTCCCTCAGGTATATCTGTCTTGAATCTTACACTGCCAACTGTTAGAAGCCCTCTTCCTATACTTGTCAAGATGGCAGCCCATCCCTGATAATCATTAAGACTGAGTACAGGTGGAGTTCGCATTTTTACTTTATTCAAAGTAGAAATTTCCTATAACGCTCCCTCCAAAATGTACACCTTCTTCCTCCGAGAAGTCTCACAAACACTGGCCTGGTGAAGAGCCATGCTTTACAGAGGCGGCTCCCAGCTTTCCAGCCCTTGGAACTTTTCAGCTCATGTCCCTGTCTCCCCAGGGTGGAGATGCTGTTCGCTGATGTCCTTAAAGAGTTAGCACAGTTTAAAGCTCAAGTGTTTAGAAATAGCAGAAACGGTTTGACTTGCATTCAGGATGCTTTCACTTGATTTATGTGGGTTCTAGTACTACAACCCTAAGCTTTTCCCCTTTGCTCTTTATTTTCCTTTGCTTTGAATAAAATACAGTGTTGAACAAGAGAAAACTGTGTCCAGAGTTACCAGGATATTTGGAACTTAAATTCCCCTCGGGGCTGTAACTCCAACCACTCCCCCACATATGTATAAACTACAATAGGGTCTTTCATTGCAGAACTCAGACCCATGAGGCAATTCCATTTATCACTGAGTAAATCATGCAGGAAATGTAGTCAGAGGGGGATTTTACTTTATTCCCTTAACTATAAATAAAAATATGTAACACTTTGCAGGATTGCCGCATGTGGTAGCATGTCACCTTCTCCACCAGACCCTGAACCCACTGTGCGCTTTCAGGAGGCACAGGGTAACTGCCTACAGTTAGCAGCCACATGTGAAAGACCCTATTGTGATGTATCTGAAAAAAATGTAAGAGGAGGAAACAAAGCAGAGCTCTGACTGTCCTGGGAATCTCAGAAAGTAGGCATGGGGATGAGGAGCCTGGGCAGAGTCAGGACTGTCAGGGTTAGGAAAGTGGGTCACCCTCAAGTAGGCTTGACCTCAACCTGGCAATCAGTCAGGGGCTGGGGAGAGGTCTGGGATGTGAACATCAAAACCAGTTGTGTTTTACTCCCACTAGCACAAGCTGACCCTAAATTCTGCGGAAACATGACATGGCATGACAGGATGCGTTTCAGACTTTCTGATGTCAGTGTTTCCCCTGGCTACCCTGGTCACATCAACTCACTGGGAGGCCATTCCTCTTTGCCTGGTGTGTTTGTCCTCACAGTGTCAGCGGTACTGGGCTGCAGAGATCAGGTTGTCCATCAATCTTCAATCCCTCTGACTGTCGTCATGCCCGACATTTGCAGCTCTGCAGTGTGCGACAGAGACTGGATTACGGTGGGATGATCAGTAGAGACTCCTGGGAACAGGGTTCCCTGTGCTTACAGAGGGAAGGAGACTTCACTCTTCCACTTTATTGTCAAGACCCACACCTGCTTCAGGTTCATCAGTCACTCGCCTGCAGCTTGTTTCTTAGATGTGCCATGACAAACACCAACACACCTGTTTCCTGGCACTATCTGGCTGTTACATGTGATCCTGGCTCCATCACACAGTGGATGACATACTGGGCTTCTTTCTTAGTTAGGGTTTTTAATTGCTGTGAGGAGACACCATGACCATGGCAACTCCTGTAAGGAAGCCATTTAATTGGGGTGGCTTGGTTACAGTTCCAGAGGTTCAGCCCATTGTCATCACGATGGGGAGCATAGTGTCCTGCAGGCAGACATGGTGCTGAGCTGAGTGTGCTACATCTTGACTTCTGTTCTGGAAGCTGCTTCTCCCATGGTAAAACACACCTTTTGTATCACATCCCTTCCCTTTTCTGCAACTCAACCTCATCAACTATCAACTTTTAAATTCTATTACTTTGGCTTCTTTGATGCAGCTCATTGACACTGGATGCAACAATGCTCATACTAAGCCAAGACCACCATCACCATGGAGGCCTGCTGCCTGGGTTCCTGTAATTTTTCTAGGTGCTGATCTGGAGAAAGTATCCACCAGAGAAATTCAAGACACGGCATGAAATTGATGGAGCATGACCCCCGCCTCCACAAGGCTCTTCTTCTTTTAAGGTAAATAGGTGTGACACGACTGACTGGATGCTCCAGCTGACCCGTGAGGGACACACAACAAGGACAACACATGCCTTAAAAAACTTTATTAATTGCTGTAGGGGCCATATGTACGAAGAGGTCAAAAAGACAAGTTTTGGGGTCCCCCTGCTTGTATCTGTGGGGCCTGAGGATGGAACTTAGGTTGTCTGGCTGTGATTTTTACTAAGCTATGAAAATTTGGGGACTATTCTACACTGGTGATGTTTTAATGTGTCCTGAGTTTACAGCCTGTACCCAGTCTTTCATCTCCCAAACCCCCAAGGCTTAAGATTCCAAAGCACACCAGTTCCATGTCACAAGGAGAGGGAGGAAGAGAAAAAGAATTCATTACCTGTTTTAAAGAAAAGATGCAAACTTTGACAGTTAAAGCTTGTCTGAACAACTATTTATCTGGATGTGTCAGGCTCTGTTGCAGCCATGGTCCTGTCTCTCTGAATCCACACAGGAACTTTCCTCTTTAAAGCACTAATAACTGCACCATTCACCCTTAACTAGGTACCAGGCTTTGCCCTAATCACTGTCACTACCTTAACTCACTTAGTACTCATTGCAACTATGACATCAGTGTTGTCATTCGTCTTACAGGTATGAGCGCTACAGCACAGGAACTTTACAATTTGTTTAAGGTCACACAGCTGATAACTAAACTAATGGAGTCAACATGAGCTCATAGCCTTCAAGTTCTGACCATCCTCCTCTACCTCCCCAGTGTTGGGATTACAAGCATGGGCCCCACATCTGGTTTGTGCAGTACTGAGAATTTAACTCAGGGTCCAATGAATGTCTGCAAGTACTCTACCAACTGAGCCACATCCCCAGTTCATTTTGCTGTGGTTGTTTGTATGGTTTGATCAGGATGTCTTGCAATCCAGGCTGGCCTTGAAATTGCTATGTAGTAGAGGAAAGTCTTGAACTTCTGATCCTTCCACCTCTGCCTCCTAAGTGCCGGAACTGTTTGACCTTTACGGAAAATGTTAAAATAGAAAACCATCCTACATGAAGGGCTTTGGCAATGCAGACCACACACTTGTGGTGTGGAAGGGCCTGCTGAGATCCATGTTCAGCATGACACAGAGGCCTGTTTTGACCTCCTGGTAGAGTCAATTCAGAATTGGTAAGCACAATTGCAGAGTTTCAGATCTTTACACTGCTCTACATTCATTATCCCTCTAGTCTCCAAACAACATCTGCAGGCAGCGATCACATCAAGTAAAGGCAGAAGCTAATGAAAGTATGGGCAGCCTGTAGCCAGTCTTGGGAACAGAGAGAAGAATGGAGGTGGTTCAGATGTGTGGGGCGGAGGCAGACCTGCTCCTGCTGGAGTGGAGGAGTCAGACCAGGAAGGTGCAGCCAGAGGAGTCTTTGCCACTCTGGTAGATAGGGCTAGCCAGAGTGAACCAATGTGGGACACACACCTGGAAAGGAGCTCTCAGTTCTGTGAGACTGAATTATAAAATTATTGTGTATTTATTTACATATTTACTAAGTATTATGTAGTAGTATACAGAATGTTATTCTTCTCTCACACAATACATCCTGACCACAGCTTCCCCTCCCTCTGCTACTCTCAGTTCCTCACCACACCGCCCTCTCTCCTAGATCCACTCTGCTGTTTCCCTTCAGAAAACAGCAGGCCTCCCAGGGATAATCAACCAGACACAGCACAACAAGATACAAGACAAGGCGCAAACCTTCATAGCAGGACTAGAGAAGCAACGCAGTAGGAAGAAAAGGGTCCCAAGAGCAGACAAGAGTCAGAGACACTCACCCCCACTCCACTGTTAGGCGTCTCACAAAAAACACCAAGCTAACAACTATAATATGTATGTAGAGGACCTAGCTCAGACTCCATGATTGCTACGTCAGTCTCTGTGAGCCCCTATGAGCCCTGCTTAGCTGATTCTATGGGTTGTGTTCTCCTGGTGTCCCCAACCCCTCTGGCTCCTACAGTTCTTCCTACCCTTTTCCTTAGCGTTCCCTGATCTCCAGGGGAGGCACCTGATGGAGACCTGCAACTTGGGCACGCTCTCTACCTAATGCATGGCTGTGGGGTGAGACTAAATTTTATGGTGATCTGGGATGCAGGTTGGATCATGCTGTCATCTCACTCATCCTCGATTTCTTGTCCTTTTCTTTAGTTCACTGGAGACTAATATGTGGCACAGTTTCCCATAGTGTTGGGTGTTGCACATTCAGCCCCGAGCCTCTGAAAGGCACATCAAACAATCACTATCTTTATTTTCCCTCCCATCCAACACCACACCTATTTACTGTCTGCCACCAGGAATGTGGCACTGGATTGCACACCCTAAATGTAAGGAGTGACAAGACCTGACACCTATCAGACAAAAAGTGTGTTTTAGTTGTAATCTAGTAAAATTCCACTATGCAACATTGTAGCCCCTCAAACAGCATGTTTCATGCTTACATTCCACAAGCTGTTACACTAGAACCAAGCACCTAACACTGACGATCATGTGGCTGATGATGGTGATGAATTCTGTGTATATGTTTTTCTTATTGTTTGATGAACAAATCATTGTTTGGCTAGTGACCAGGCAGGAAAGATAGGCAGGGCTACCAGATGTGGAGAATTCTGGGAAGCATAGGCAGAAAGGAGTCGTCATGTGAGCCCAGGAAGATGCACACCAAGTGTTCTCGGGTAATATTAGACCATGTAGAAATACACAGCTTAGTAGTTATGGGTTAATAATTATGACAGAGCTAGTCAATAAGAAGCCCAAGCCACCGGCCAACAGTTTCATAATTAACATAGCGTCTGTGTGTTTATTTGGGGCTGACACAGCTGTGGGACTAGGCTGGCGGGAAAGAGTGCTCGTTACATGTGGCATTCCATGCTTCCCAACTGGGCAAAACACAATTCACAAAACATTTTTTAATTCCATACACTAAAAGTGGGCACTCTGGGAGTCAGATGATGGTGCAAAGGTGTTAAGAATGGAAAATTGGGGAAATAAATCCATTTTTAGGCACAGGCATAGCCTTGCTGGCTGACACCAATACAAAGGATGGTTTCCACAAAGTAGCTCTGGGGTGGACAAAGAGGTCATCTGAACCTCTTCAGCAGGAAGACCACCCAGTTTGCAGGGCATTCTTTCTGAAAGCCTTCAGAACCTAAGTAGTCTAAGTAACTTCGAAGTGCTCTGCCCACAGGGACTCAAAATCAATAACCACTGAAGATTTTTGTGGATATAATTCAATCAATGCAGCTTCAAAAATGAAAGAACTGATTTGACAGTTAATGATTTATCAGACTCCCCACCCCAGCTTTTTGATAATGGATAAAAATTAACAAAATATTCAAAACTCTGTTAGAAGACCTAATGTAATTTATTTTTGTCTATAAATATTCACACTGAAAAGAGGTCTAGAGCAATAAATAGGGTTGGGGTACAGAATCGGCATAGTAAAAATAAAGACATTGGGAAAGAATTATATAGACAAAAATATCAGGTTTTTCAGTAAGATTACCTCTTCAAGAAATGCTGAGAAATTCCATTTTAAAAGCAGCTAACTGTGACACTGGAGCAGGAACAGAACATGGAAATATTTCCAGTGTTAGTGACAGCTGCTGTTACACAGTGATAACAGCTACACCAGCTCCAAGAACAGATTTTATTAGCAAAAAGAAATTAAAGATTGAGATTTGCATGCCAATTCCTCCTCCCAAACACAAACCCCTCTAAACACATTTATGGAATCGTCTGGTGGAAAAGTCCCCAATATATTTGTTTTAAAACAAGAAAACCCACCCAAATGTTCATCATCTGATAAATGGTTACACAAAGTGTGTTCTAGATACAATGGAATATTATCCAGCAATAAGAATAGGAGTGCTGAAGAGATGGCTCAGTGGTTAAGAGCATTGGCAGCTCTGCTAAAGGTCCTGAGTTCAATTCCCAGCAACCACATAGTGGTTCATAGTCATCTATAATGGGATCTGATGATCTGATGCCCTCTTCTGGTATGCAGGTGTATATGCAGATAGG